AGGGCTATGATACCATATGATTTCAATTTTTTTATTTTCTTTGCTTAATATGTCACCTTTGTTTGTTTATATATGTGTTTTCTTTTCAATAACAAAAAAATTGTCCAGAAAACATTCAAATTCGGATGTTTTCAAAATGTTTATTTCATCGTATGCATCGACAAAATCTAGAGTTTTTGTAGCGAAATAATCCTTTAGAGATATATAGAACCTGGTTTTGAAAAGAAGTGTTGACCTTTCATTCAGTATTCGCGGTTTTCAATTATTTATTCAAAATTAATGCAACAAGTTGTTTGATTTTGTTATTGTTTTGATACTATTTCTGACATTACAAGCCAAACAGGTAGACCTCTATACTTGCAATTTTTTCAAAGTTGACCTACCTTCTCTTCATTGTACCATGCTGCTTACCATGTAATGGCATATAAACAATAGTTCTATTCATGGTACAATGAAGACAAGTAGACTAAGTAAGAAAAATTTGCAATTAAAGAGGCCTGCCTGTATGGGTTGTAATGTCGAAATTACAATTACATCAAATACCACATGTTGTTTATTATCAAACAACTTGTTGCATTGATTTTGAATAAATAAACAAAAACGCAAAAATTTTATCGAAGATCACAATTTCTTTTTAAAATCATGTTCTATTTGTTTAATAATTTTGACATTACCATAGAATGGTGGGGGTATAAAAATTGTATTCAGTTGATTGCTATGCCTTATCCTGTCTTCATTGTACCATGGTTTGAACCTCCTTTTCAATTGTCTACTATACAACACTATATTATATATTTGTACTATATTTATATAATTAATGCATCTGTTTATAATACACTATGAAGCGTAAATATGTATGTTTCAATTTTTTAAAAAAAAAGGGGGAAACACCTTGCTATTATTTCAAGCCATTCATTTCTCTGATAGCATGAGTAATCACCATATGGATATACATCTATATTTTGTTCGCTTTGGGGGTATGCCCTTTATTTATTAATATGAGTATAAAAACGTTTCACTGAAATGTGCGCTAGTTAGTTGATCGAGAAATATTTAAAAAATCAGTTGTTCGAATAGCTACTATTAAATAATGACTGATAATAAAGAACATATTGTTAATCTGACTACAGAAGGAGATGATATTGTTGATCCATGGACAGTAGCCAGTAATAGCGATTCTGGAATTAATTATGACAAGTTAATAGGTAAGGAAGTGCACAAATTAAAATAGCGTTGTTGTTGTAAAAATGTATTTATATATTTTCGTTTCAGAACGCTTTGGTTCGTCCAGAATAGATGACACGATAATAAAACGTATTGAAAAGATAACCGGCAAACCAGCTCATCATTTCATTCGACGTGGGATATTCTTTTCCCATCGTGAATTGGACACAATTCTGACATTGAAAGAACAAGGCAAACCATTTTATTTATACACTGGACGTGGCCCCAGCTCTGAGTCATTGCATTTGGGTCACTTGATACCATTCATTATGACAAAGTATGTAATATGGTAGTTAAGGTGAAAATAGATAATTTGAAAGCTTTTTTGTACCTTCATAATAAGATATCTTCAAGAAGCCTTTGATGTTCCGCTGGTCATTCAAATGTCCGATGATGAAAAAACAATATGGAAAGACTTAAAAGTTGAAGAATCTATTACATTGGCCCATGAGAATGCCAAAGATATTATAGCAATGGGTTTCAATCCAGAGAAAACATTTATATTCAATGATTTAAATTTTATGGGGTAAGTTTGACTTTTTATATTTTATTTAAAGAACAAAGATTTAGTGGCAAAGATTCCATCATGGTACAATAAGGAAGTAGAACATAATTATGAAACCACTGAAATACAGCCCCGAGGCTACGCCCGGTTTCCGTCAGAATTTCTCCAAAGTTATTCCCATTTATTTGATATTTTTCCTCATTTTTAAAATGAGTTGAATTGCTTGGATTTTCTTTCAAAAAATTGGAAACCAATATTTCAGTTCAATGAGAAAACTGGTTAATATCCTTAATGCCTTTAACGTCAAAATAATGTGATACTAGACTCTCCCTAGTTAACGATAGAATAAAATATGATTCTCGCTAATGGCAATTTAAAAAAAAATAATAATAAAAAAGGATTTTCACTATTGGTTTAGCTCATGAGATAATATTAATAAAGCTCTTTGGAATTAACGTACAATTTTTGACTTCGCTTTAAATTATGTGTGTAAATGTAGATTCTATATCAGATTTAAAATAAATCCGATTGTGAGATTTACTTTGTATGGTGATAATGAAGGCTCAAACGGATAAAATTGTATATTTAAACCCTGTATATATTTAGGTTCACGGATACCAGTAGCTTTAGCTTTGAAAATGGAGGCGAATTCTTTGAGATTTTTTTTCTTTTTTTTTTTTGACATTAGCTTCATAACATTAGCTTCAGCATACAAAAATAGTTTGAATTTTAAAATATAAATTGACATTCAGAATATTGCGAGGAAACATTAAGACAATTTTGAGATTATATTCCGATTTAACAGTATCAGTATCTTCATAACGAATGTTAACCCGGAAAAAAGTTCTAAGGTAAACATGCTTTGAACGTTTGTCTTTCATTTTTTCTTGTTTATTTGTTTTTCTTTTTTTTGCCTCTATAATTTTTGAGGTATTAGCATTCATGAGGTAGAACATGTTAAAACCCAATTTAGTTATTTGACATAAATAACAAGGAATTCACTAAAAGGTTTTTGAATTAGTTCTTCGTTACTATGTAAAATTTGATTCTCCACCATATTAATTTCAGTAATATAAATGTAAGGAAAAGATTGCATTTCATAACTTGTATGGGCTGCTTCAAAATATTGTTCAGTGCAATTATGTATGAATTTGTTGATATATTCTCTTTGCAGTCAATGTCCCGCATTCTATCAAAACGTCGTACGTATGCAAAAATGTGTCACCTTTAATCAAGTTAAAGGTATTTTTGGATTTGTCGAATCAGATTTAGTAGGAAAGATTGCTTTTCCCGTAGTTCAGGCTGCTCCGGCACTTTCCAGTACGTTTCCGTTCATATTTGGAGATCAGAAAGTCCATTGTTTAGTTCCGTGTGCCATCGACCAAGATCCTTATTTTCGTATGTGTCGAGATGTCGCTCCTCGATTGGGCTTTCCGAAATGCGCTTTAATACATTCGATATTTTTCCCCGCTCTACAAGGTGCTAGATCGAAAATGTCTGCAAGTGATGAGAATTCGGCAATATTTCTTACGGACAATCCTGACACTATTAAGAGCAAAATAAATAAATATGCGTTTTCTGGTGGTCGCAGTACTGTGGAGGAACATCGCAAACTTGGCGGTATACCCGAAATTGATGTTGCCTTTCAATTATTATACTTCTTCCTCGATGATGACGAGAAATTGAAGAGGATTCATGCTGATTATTCTAAGGGATATATGCTCACTGGAGAAATAAAGAAAATAGCCATTGAAGTAAGTAGTCTGTTTAAATTATACATATGTACTTCTTATACATACTAATATTCAAATATTTTATGAAGACCGTAACACCAATTGTGGAATGCCACCAAGCAGTGCGTAAACAAATATCGGATGAAGTTTTAAAATCTTATATGGAAATACGTCCTTTGAAATTCGAAGGTGGTCTTGCAGTGTGATTTAATTATGAAACATAAAATAAATTGTTCATGCTCATTCATAAAATGCGTTGTTATTTTGCTTTGTATTTTGTATTATTGGATGTTGTTCGTTAACTTAAAAGTTTTCTAAACTAGAGCAAGTTGTGAGGGTTTGCAAATTCTAGAAAATTAGCTTAGTAAAAGTTCTTTAGTGTTATAATAGAACAGTTCTTTAGTGTTGGACGCTTTAAACTGTTTTTATTCAGGTGATGTTACTGGGAAATTTCTAAATTTTACAACACTCCGTAACTGAACTTTCCAAATTGTTCTTTTCACCCTCTTTCATTTACTGGTTATTTTGTGCAAAATATTGGGTTTTTACATCATGGTACAAAGATATAAAAAGGTAAGAACTAGATAAAATGTACATTGGCAAATTATTTTGTTTTGTAATAATATATGTAGGTTCGCTTCTTATTACAGAGTTTATTTATGCAGAAAACACAGTAGAACAGAAAAAGTAGTTAAATATTCTTTAAACCCATATTAAGTCCTGGGCCTCAATTCTCGTTTTATGAAAATGTGAAATGAAAACATTTATAAAGGAAAGAAATGTCGAATGGAAAATTTTATAAAGGAAATATTTTTCATTTTATATTTTCATAGAACAAGAAAATATACAAGGCGAGTTAACTGACGGTAACGTCAAAAGGAATTGCCAGGTCAAAAGGACGTCTCATAGTCAAAATTTTTATTTACAAATCTGCTTACCATGTAATGGCACATATAAACAATAGTTCTACTCATGGTACAATGAAGACAAGTAGACTAAGTTAGAAAAATTTGCAATTAAAGAGGCCTGCCAGTATGGGTTGTAATGTTGGAATTACAATTAAATCAAATACCAGATGTTGTTTATTATCAGACAACTTGTTGCATTGATTTTGAATAAATAAACAAAAACGCAAAAATTTTATCGACGATCACAATTTCTTTTTAAAATCATGTTCTATTTGTTTAATAATTTTGACATTACCATAGTGGGGGTGGGGGTATAAAAATTGTATTCAGTTGATAGCTATGCCCTATCCTGTCTTCATTGTACCATGGTTTGAACCTCCTTTTCAATTGTTTACTATACAACACTATATTATATATTTGTACTATATTTATATAATTAATGCATCTGTTTATAATACACTATGAAGCGTAAATATGTATGTTTCAATTTAAAAAAAAAGGGGGAAACACCTTGCTATTATTTCAAGCTATTCATTTCTCTGATAGCATGAGTAATCACCATATGGATATACATCTATATTTTGTTCGCTTTGGGGGTATGCCCTTTATTTATTAATATGAGTATAAAAACGTTTCACTGAAATGTGCGTTAGTTAGTTGATCGAGAAATATTTAAAAAATCAGTTGTTCGAATAGCTACTATTAAATAATGACTGATAATAAAGAACATATTGTTAATCTGACTACAGAAGGAGATGATATTGTTGATCCATGGACAGTAGCCAGTAATAGCGATTCTGGAATTAATTATGACAAGTTAATAGGTAAGGAAGTGCACAAATTAAAATAGCGTTGTTGTTGTAAAAATGTATTTATATATTTTCGTTTCAGAACGCTTTGGTTCGTCCAGAATAGATGACACGATAATAAAACGTATTGAAAAGATAACCGGCAAACCAGCTCATCATTTCATTCGACGTGGGATATTCTTTTCCCATCGTGAATTGGACACAATTCTGACATTGAAAGAACAAGGCAAACCATTTTATTTATACACTGGACGTGGCCCCAGCTCTGAGTCATTGCATTTGGGTCACTTGATACCATTCATTATGACAAAGTATGTAATATGGTAGTTAAGGTGAAAATAGATAATTTGAAAGCTTTTTTGTACCTTCATAATAAGATATCTTCAAGAAGCCTTTGATGTTCCGCTGGTCATTCAAATGTCCGATGATGAAAAAACAATATGGAAAGACTTAAAAGTTGAAGAATCTATTACATTGGCCCATGAGAATGCCAAAGATATTATAGCAATGGGTTTCAATCCAGAGAAAACATTTATATTCAATGATTTAAATTTTATGGGGTAAGTTTGACTTTTTATATTTTATTTAAAGAACAAAGATTTAGTGGAAAAGATTCCATCATGGTACAATAAGGAAGTAGAACATAATTATGAAACCACTGAAATACAGCCCTGAGGCTACGCCCGGTTTCCGTCAGAATTTCTCCAAAGTTATTCCCATTTATTTGATATTTTTCCTCATTTTTAAAATGAGTTGAATTGCTTGGATTTTCTTTCAAAAAATTGGAAACCAATATTTCAGTTCAATGAGAAAACTGGTTAATATCCTTAATGCCTTTAACGTCAAAATAATGTGATACTAGACTCTCCCTAGTTAACGATAGAATAAAATATGATTCTCGCTAATGGCAATTAAAAAAAAATAATAATAAAAAAGGATTTTCACTATTGGTTTAGCTCATGAGATAATATTAATAAAGCTCTTTGGAATTAACGTACAATTTTTGACTTCGCTTTAAATTATGTGTGTAAATGTAGATTCTATATCAGATTTAAAATAAATCCGATTGTGAGATTTACTTTGTATGGTGATAATGAAGGCTCAAACGGATAAAATTGTATATTTAAACCCTGTATATATTTAGGTTCACGGATACCAGTAGCTTTAGCTTTGAAAATGGAGGCGAATTCTTTGAGATTTTTTTTCTTTTTTTTTTTGACATTAGCTTCATAACATTAGCTTCAGCATACAAAAATAGTTTGAATTTTAAAATATAAATTGACATTCAGAATATTGCGAGGAAACATTAAGACAATTTTGAGATTATATTCCGATTTAACAGTATCAGTATCTTCATAACGAATGTTAACCCGGAAAAAAGTTCTAAGGTAAACATGCTTTGAACGTTTGTCTTTCATTTTTTCTTGTTTATTTGTTTTTCTTTTTTTGCCTCTATAATTTTTGAGGTATTAGCATTCATGAGGTAGAACATGTTAAAACCCAATTTAGTTATTTGACATAAATAACAAGGAATTCACTAAAAGGTTTTTGAATTAGTTCTTCGTTACTATGTAAAATTTGATTCTCCACCATATTAATTTCAGTAATATAAATGTAAGGAAAAGATTGCATTTCATAACTTGTATGGGCTGCTTCAAAATATTGTTCAGTGCAATTATGTATGAATTTGTTGATATATTCTCTTTGCAGTCAATGTCCCGCATTCTATCAAAACGTCGTACGTATGCAAAAATGTGTCACCTTTAATCAAGTTAAAGGTATTTTTGGATTTGTCGAATCAGATTTAGTAGGAAAGATTGCTTTTCCCGTAGTTCAGGCTGCTCCGGCACTTTCCAGTACGTTTCCGTTCATATTTGGAGATCAGAAAGTCCATTGTTTAGTTCCGTGTGCCATCGACCAAGATCCTTATTTTCGTATGTGTCGAGATGTCGCTCCTCGATTGGGCTTTCCGAAATGCGCTTTAATACATTCGATATTTTTCCCCGCTCTACAAGGTGCTAGATCGAAAATGTCTGCAAGTGATGAGAATTCGGCAATATTTCTTACGGACAATCCTGACACTATTAAGAGCAAAATAAATAAATATGCGTTTTCTGGTGGTCGCAGTACTGTGGAGGAACATCGCAAACTTGGCGGTATACCCGAAATTGATGTTGCCTTTCAATTATTATACTTCTTCCTCGATGATGACGAGAAATTGAAGAGGATTCATGCTGATTATTCTAAGGGATATATGCTCACTGGAGAAATAAAGAAAATAGCCATTGAAGTAAGTAGTCTGTTTAAATTATACATATGTACTTCTTATACATACTAATATTCAAATATTTTATGAAGACCGTAACACCAATTGTGGAATGCCACCAAGCAGTGCGTAAACAAATATCGGATGAAGTTTTAAAATCTTATATGGAAATACGTCCTTTGAAATTCGAAGGTGGTCTCGCAGTGTGATTTAATTATGAAACATAAAATAAATTGTTCATGCTCATTCATAAAATGCGTTGTTATTTTGCTTTGTATTTTGTATTATTGGATGTTGTTCGTTAACTTAAAAGTTTTCTAAACTAGAGCAAGTTGTGAGGGTTTGCAAATTCTAGAAAATTAGCTTTGTAAAAGTTCTTTAGTGTTATAATAGAACAGTTCTTTAGTGTTGGACGCTTTAAACTGTTTTTATTCAGGTGATGTTACTGGGAAATTTCTAAATTTTACAACACTCCGTAACTGAACTTTCCAAATTGTTCTTTTCACCCTCTTTCATTTACTGGTTATTTTGTACAAAATATTGGGTTTTTACATCATGCAACAAAGACATAAAAAGGTAAGAACTAGATAAAATGTACATTGGAAAATTATTTTATGTAGGTGCGCTTCTTATTACAGAGTTAATTTATGCAGAAAACACAGTAGAACAGAAAAAGTAGTTAAATATTCTTTAAACCTATATTAAGTCCTGAATTATACAAGGCGAGTTAACTGACGGTAACGTCAAAAGGAATTGCCAGGTCGAAAGGACGTCTCATAGTCAAAATTTTTATTTACAAATCCATTGTATATACACAAATCAGAGATGGAAGAGATTTTTATTCAGTGAACTTTGCCAAGGTATTTTACAGAAAATGCAGAGATTATTTACCTTCTTAATTTTACCATGCAGAAATGAATGAATGAAATGCCTATATTTTCAAAAATATGGCATGATAAAATTAACAATGTTAATTCATTTCATATAAGCATTTTCTGTAATATATCTTGTCAATTTTAACTTCATTGAAAACAGGGTAAATTTAAACGGTTTGTTTCAAATTCTTAGTTTTAATGTATTTTGCAAGAGAATTGTGAAAAGTAAAACTTGCGAACAATCACCTTATTTGTCAAAACAAAATATTTGCCCGTCATTGAAAGAAATAGAGCACGCAAAAATAAAAAATTCGTCGAAAAATATTATTAGGCCTGCGATTTTGAAATAAACATGTTAGGAAGAGAGTGCTGTTGTCGCAGGTAAATTATTGTCTGGAGGTAGTCTCCGACACTACTTCTTCTCAGATGCAACGTATTCGTAGGGCAGTAAATTCGATTGTTCGTTACGTGTATGGCTTGCGTCGCGGTGATCATGGTTCTTGTTTTGTTAATGACCTCCTGAGATTGCCATTTAGCAGCTACATTGATCTTCGTATTCTTCAAATTCATTACAGTGTTATGTGAAATTTCACTCACCTCTTCGTGACAACTTTGTGTTTTGTTGATCATCTCGAAATCCTCAATTGTTGTGTCCAAGGTTTTCGTCATCCATTGGTGAGAGATCCTTTGTGGTTAGGGTGGTGAGATTGTGAAATCAGCTTGCTTTGGCCTTACGTACGTTTGCCTATACCAATTATCTGTTTAGGATTAAAGTAATTGAGTACCTTCGCCTAAATATGTAGGCTATGTTTTTGTAGTGGTTGCATCGGTTTATTATGGGTTTTTCTTTTATTTCTTTTTGTTGGGCTGGGGAGCCACTATATTATCTTCTTAATTTTTTTTGTGGGGTGTTATAATGTAAGTTACTATTTATACTCTGTTTAGTGAGTAATAAAATATTTCTCTCTTATTTTTAGCTCGTTTCTGCTACACTTTTTCACTGCTCTACTAAACTATTGTTTAGGGTTCGAGGTGTAGGGTTCGAGTTTCTCGTGAATTTTTAAGATAAATTATTGATTTAATATGCTATTTAAGTTTGAATTAATCATTGAATTTGTATTATGTTGGTGTATTGTAGATAGATAATATAAGTTATGGGACCTGTGGCATGGTAGAAGAATATAGGTAGATGCATCAACGCTTGCGAACATTGATATGTCAAAATTTTAAAATTGTTTTGTCTAAAATAAGTACATTTTTATTTATTTTCTTATATGATGCAAATCGGAGGTTGTTACAATATGCATTTTTCAACAATTTTTACAAATTTTAATAATATTTCATTCAACATTTTCAATTCCAAAATTGGTTTGTCAGTTCATTGTCCCAGCAGCTGTGTCGAAGCGACTACCTGTATTCTTCTACCATGGACCTGTGGGCTTATTTATATTTCTTTGTAAGGTAAATAAATGAAATGAAATTGCTTGTCAAAATGTAAATCACCAGAGGGAGAAGTAGAGGAGTTGGTATTCAGTATTTCAGAAGTTCCCTTTCGAAACGCTTCCCTTTTTTCAGAACTTTTGTGTTAACGGACGACCTGTAGCAGGACTCTCAACCTCATTTTTTTCTAACTTATCGACAAACATCGCCAAAATTATGAACGAAAAGCTTAAATTAAAATTGACAGCACTGTTTCTATCGGAAGGACTCAGCGACTACTTAATTTTGGTCGCTAACTTTCCGAAAATTTTGTTAAGAATTTTAGGAGAACTACACTCACCTACAGTGTGTTAAAAAAAAACATTGTGGCCTACCTGATTTCGTTCGGCCGACTTAGGTCATTGGCTGGATTCTTCGGAAATGAAAGAAAGGAGTCTAGGGCCAAAATCGAACTAAGTTAACCTAAAACTCCATTGTTCCAGCCGATGACTTAAGCTAGCCAAATAAGCGCTTTATGTATTTCCACCTTAAGGCCAACATCGAAAAAGTCAACACATTTCTTCTTTGTTCTTATACGAAGAAGCCAGCTTATGACTTAAGCCATTCAAGCAAAGCATTTTTTGTATTCTTAAGGTGCAAGTACATAAAAAGCTTGAAGGCACGGCTAGGCATATTAATTTCAAATTATAATGAAAAACGGCGGCAGGATTTTAGTGCAATAAATTTACGAAATGTCACAAAATATGGCCCGCCATGACTTCAAGCTTCTAATATACTTACACATTTACCTTAACATTCAAGTAAATTAATAAATAATAGTTCTGACCACGGTACAATGAAATCAAGAAAGGCAGAACTACCATATGATTTTATTTTTTTTATTTTCTTGGCTTAACATGTCAACTTTAATGTGTATTATAGTACGTTTACATATAAATAGGCTAAACCACTGGATTTTGATTAAAATTGTCATATCCACTACTTATACTTCAAATAAATCCTCTTGAAGTAGGTTAACCCTGAAAAAAAGTTCTAACTAAACATAGCATTATTTTCAATTTATGAAAATTGTTTAGAACATATTCAAATTCTGTAGATTTCAAAATGCTTAAAGTGAAAGTACATAAAGGACTTTTCCGTCTAGCTTATCCAAATTTAGAGACTGTGTATATAACCAATCAACAGATGTGTGCATACAAAATCTAATTTTTTTGGAGGTACCTACGAATCTGATGCTATATCTCCAGTTCCAAGTGGAATTTCAAAAATGTATGTAGCCTATGTTACTTTCGGGCGATGCTGTAGTATATTTGGAAATTTGTTTAGCGGTTTGTTTATTTGGAAAACTGTTTAGCGGCTTCTGAGTCCATAAATTACAAACCAACAATCAAATAAACATTTCATCAAACGTGCAAACATTTCTCTCTTTTATAGATATTGACGGATTCAGCCAATGACATATAGTCCGTTTACATATATTAGGTGTGTCTGGTTGCCCTAAAATTTGTAACAATTGTTACAAAAAGTTACTGGAAGTTGCCGCTAACCCGAAAGTTCTGTAAAAGAGAGCGGTTAGAGAAAGAAATTTTGACAGTTCTTTCAGTGAGAGTTTGCAAATATTTAATTTTATTGAAAGTTTCCTTTCTATTTATAAAACTTGTAAAATTGGTGGGGCTTCCTTTGTATGTAAGAATGTAAGTTTTTACTACGATAACCTATTTTCTCTTTATGATATAGAAAAAAATGAAAGCCTAGTATATTCTTGCAGATTCTGAAACAGAGCAATTAAGTTTTTACCCGGGCTAACTGTCAAATTAAATTTAAAGTTTCCATAGTGAAATTTATTGTGATTCAGTGTACATTCGGGTAAAGATTTTATGTAGTCGTAATTTCAAGCCGTAAAAAATCCTTTTACGTTTTTACCCCTTTAGGAACAGCTGATAGTTCCTTTTAAAGAATATTTCTCTGAACTGTTACTTTCGGAACCACAGAACTCTATAATTTTTAGAGCAGACACGTTTCATTCCACATTGCAGCATTTATTCTTTGTAGTTTTAAAAACTTATAAAAGCTAATAGACAGTAGGAATTATGAGTGAAACTGTTGCCGAGGGCGTGGAGGCTTTGACTCTTAACAATGCCAAGGAGACTGACGAGCAAGTTGTTACTGGTGAAGAGGTGACAGGTAAAGATCATATTGCCAATTTAGAATTCGGAAGGTGCTACTCCACTACTCTGAATGAATCATTTAGAAGAAAAGAGATGAAACCAAACAACCGATTTATAGTATTGTTGTGTTGTTCACAGTAGGTGATGACCAAAATGATGTTGTGGATCCATGGAATGTTTCCAGTACCAGTGATACTGGCATCGATTATGAGAAGTTAATCAGTATGTAATAATACAGCATATTTATATATTGGACTCTATAATATAAGTTTGTTTCTTTTTAGAACGCTTTGGTTCATCCCGAATCGATGACGAATTAATAGCACGTATTGAAAAGATAACTGGCAAGCCAGCACATCATTTAATACGCCGTGGAATATTTTTTTCTCATCGTGAGCTCAATACCATTTTAACGCTCAAGGAACAAGGCAAGGCATTTTACTTGTATACGGGTCGGGGACCAAGCTCAGAATCACTCCATTTGGGCCATTTAATTCCATTCATTATGACAAAGTAATTATTGTTGCATGGCGCATATTATGAGCCATTGTAATTAAACGGATTTTACTATTTAGATATCTCCAAGAAGCATTCGATGTGCCTTTGGTTATACAAATGTCTGATGATGAAAAGACATTGTGGAAAGATTTGAAAGTTGAAGATGCTATTAAATTGGCACACGAAAATGCAAAGGATATTATCGCCATGGGATTTGATGTCGAAAAGACGTTTATTTTTAATAATTTAACTTTTATGGGGTAAGAGTTTTTCAATTTTTATTATTTTAAATGCAAAAATAGTAGTACGACTTTTTCAAATGTGTAAAGATAATTGAGTTAAAAAACTGCCACCAAAAATGTAGTGATTTTGTTTGTGTCTAAAATGTGTTCTCGATATCAGGTCTTCGGTTGGAATTTATGACTTTTTTTCCATTCGTTCAAAATTGTTACCCATAAAGTATCTGAATTATGAAATGGGCCATAAATAGGTGACGAACTCTGCGTCCCGTTAAAAATCTCATAACTTAAATGTACATAGCATAGCGGGACTTCGGCCGCCATTAATACATATGACATTATAAATAATGCTAGGCATACAACTTTTTTCATAAAGTATCTTAAAACTCAAATGTTAATGACTTTAGCCGCTTTAGTAAGAGGTATTTGGCAAATTATGAGACCCTATACCTTGGAAGGTATGAATTAACACCCAAAGATATTATGATGTTAAAGTCTGGATACAAAGAATAACTTTCCCACAGATGGTTTCAAATTATATTCAAGACCAAATGTGGTAGGATTCTATTCCTAAAAAAATAAATTTTAGATGACCCGATATAAACGAAAAAATAAGTGACGAACTCTAAATAAGATCAATAATTGATTTTTTAGTAAAATATGCGCGCATTTAAGTTTATACCAAAAATGCCTTTATTGTTTTGATTAAATCACATCGATATTTCTATAAAATATTTTTAAATTTCAACATTTTTTCTTTTAGACAATGTCCAGCATTCTATCAAAACATCATACGCATGCAAAAATGTGTAACTTTTAACCAAGTTAAGGGTATTTTTGGATTTGGAGACTCCGATATTATTGGCAAAATTGGATTCCCCGCTGTTCAAGCTGCACCAGCTCTTTCAAGTACATTTCCATTTATTTTCGGAAATAAAAAAACCCACTGCCTTATACCTTGCGCTATTGATCAAGATCCATATTTCCGCATGTGCAGAGATGTAGCACCACGTTTAGGCTTTCCCAAATGCGCACTGATACATTCGACTTTCTTCCCCGCCTTACAAGGTGCTAAGTCCAAAATGTCTGCCAGTGAACAAAACTCGGCTGTTTTTTTGACCGATACTCCCAAACAGATTAAAAATAAAATTAATAAATATGCCTTTTCGGGTGGCCGCGTTACTGTAGAGGAACACCGAAAATTAGGTGGCATACCAGATATTGATGTTGCCTACCAATTACTCAAATTCTTTTTGGAAGACGACGAAAAACTTGAAGAGATACGCCTTGCCTATAGTAAGGGTGAATTGTTAACGGGTGAAATTAAAAAGATTGCGATTGAGGTGAGTTTCCAAACGTTTAACTAGTATATAAATTTAATAATATTGCCGTATATTTATTAGACTGTAACTCCTATTGTGGAACGCCATCAAGCTGCTCGTAAGTTGGTGACTGATGAAGTTTTACAGAAATTTATGGAAATACGTCCGTTGAAGTTCGGCTAAGCAAGTTAAACTGTTATTTGCACATAGTGTTACTACGACTTTGTCACAATTAAAAATATTTTTTTTATTTATTTTCGCTTGTAATACGATAAAAAATTATTTTTTAGAAATACATTAAAGTTCTTTTTGCGTTTAGAATAAAACAATTATATACAACAATACAAAAGCCTACAATGTCGATAAAGTATTTAAAATTATAAGGAATTTCAAAATAAAATTGCATTGCAAATATTTGAACGATATTCAACTGTAAGCCGTGGTCTAATTAAAAATATGCGTTTATATGTATATTTTTAAAATTTTCTGTAAATGGGATATTACAAATATATTGTAAATAAAATGTAATTTAAAAAAGAATTGTATAGTGGGGAATATACCAAATATGTAAATAATAAGTTATTTTCTTTCCATTTTTTGTGCGAACATAATTGTCGCTCAAATTAAGAAACATCACAGAATGGAAATATTTTAGCCATATAGGCATAATAATCGTTAGCGTATGGCTTGAGCCATATGCAGCGGTGTAACCATAAGAGTAAGCTCTGCATCTTTTAGATTTGCACCTCTTAAGTTTGCCTCCTGTAAATCGCTTCCAGATAGATTGCAACGTTCTAAATCTGCACCGGCCAATACGGCAGAGCGTAAATTGCAATTCTTCATGTTTGCGTTCTTGAGATTAGCAACGCGTAGATTTACTGCTGCCATATTTGAACTTTCCAAACAAGCCCCCTTCAGATTCACACCTTCAAGATTGGTACGCAAGCCTGATGGATCTTCAAAATTGCATCCTCTTAAATTCGCACCTTCCATATTTGCACATAAACCTTAAAAAAAGCAAATATTATATTAAGCAACAATAATATAACAAATTTTCATGCTTCACTACCTTTTACGGATATCAGTTGGGCACATTCTAAATTGGCATATGCTAGATCAGTGCGCTCCAAACAACAATATGTTAAATTAGCATGAGATAAGTTACATCTCTGCATGCAGGCATACTGGAAAGGAAGTAAAAAATAAACTGGATAAACACAACAGTTATGCTAACATAACAAGAAGGAATCGATTCATTTTCTTCTACCTCCATATCTGTAGAATTTTAAAATAAAATTTTCTATAAAGACGTACTTTATAAAATAATTGTGTCTGAACCGTGGCCAATTTTTGTTCAAAGCTTGTAAATACATATTCGAAGAAAAACAATAATATTCCGAAACCAAGAGGGCAAATATGGTCTAATATTTCAATATTACGCTTGTACGTAATATTTATTATTATTATTTACCTTAAAATTTATGTTACGAAAATCCAGTTTTCTTAAATCAGCACCAGCTAAATTTACACCTTGGAAACGTATTTCTGTTATATGTGATGTCTGTATAAGTGCTTTAATGACATCTCTTCGGGTCAATGGCTGATTATCTAAAGATTGATTGTTTTGCATTATTTGTTCTTCCAACTGACTGACCAGGGATTCCAATCCATAGAATTTAGCTTCTTCCAATACTCCTTCTAAGCTTATATTGGGATCAACAATAAGTTGACCATGTCTTAGATAATTAATGATTGGTTCGAAATAATGGGCACTGCGATCAATTAAATATGCTCCAGTCTCATCTTGATCGCTGGGCATCATGGCACCCTCTTGAGAAAACATTCGGGCCAACATACTATCCGGTTCTTTGCTCACCAAAGTCCATATTGTAGTTTGAAAAACCTTGCCTCCAACGTTTAGTTTAATCCATTTGGAGGATGGAAATTTCTGTTCGGGCACAGCCACTTTCAAAGATGAACATGGCTTGTCAGCCATTGGGTTTTTTACTCTTGGATCCGTCGCCGCCCCAGTTTCGTTATCAATTATTGATACTATATTGTAAGTATCCATCTCTTTACTGATTATTTACAAACTGTTCTTGCAATTGCAATCAATAATTTTCCCGAGCGAAAAGCAACAAAATCTTATAAGCATGGAGTAATGTTAAGGTGCTCAAGCAAAACTCTAAATTCAGACCATATGTCAAATTTTGTTTACCTTTTATGCTGTGATTTCAATCACAATAATGGATATTGACATTTAAATTGGTAACCAGCTGGTTTTCATGAGAAAAATATAATCAGGGTACAATAAAAAGGTATTTGCAGAGTTAAAATGTATTTACAATTTTTATCTGGCTTCTGTCCCTTCTGTGTTTATAAAAAAGCAACTCTGATACAAACATTACAAAGTAATTTGTAAAACAAAAACAAAATATTTTCAAGATCAATTATTGGAAGAAACTTAAATTGCGGCGCGCGCATTAATATTATTAAGCAGATTTGCCATGGAAAGATTGAACACTTAGGATCATATTTTTGAGAGAACATCCAGACATTTCATTCATCTTTAGCGCTATTTGACTCACTTTAAAAATGAACAAAAAATATCTAATAAATGAAAGCAACTTGTTGCCTATAATTTTGAATAATTCTGGCAGGATGCGTGCATACCTCAGGGCTGTATTTCATTTCATTTCATATGTTTCATGTTTCCTAAAATTGAAAATATAGAATACTTTATGTATGTATGAAGTTTGGTTTCAATAGGAAAAGGATGTGGCCTTTTTTACGATTTTCTAGCAATTACTTGAAGGGACCTACATCAAACAACTATTCATTCAAGCGAATGACATGAAATCGTTAAAATTAAATATTAAATAGCCCGTTCTTATATGCATTTTTTACAGAGATATGGCAAGCTTTTTGTAAAATTAATTGGTAGTTACTGCATTTTTTTACAATGGCATCTTTATTTTTGTTTAGAAATAATAAACAAAACGAATTCGTAAATAATTTCGTGAAATAAATTTATAATCAGTTCTTCAATATAAAATAAACGATTTGCGTTATTCATTTTTTTATTTAAATAAATGTTGCTGTTATTGGCATATTATCAATATAAAATATGGCAACATAAATTCAGCAAACTTTACTTTAAAAGAGGAAGGGAAATTTAATAATCCAAATTCCAAAAATTTGAAATTGAAATTTTTTACTGAAAATTAATAATTAAGTTTAAAATTTTTAACAAATTTGTATGTGTTTGTTGTTACATGTGCTGTACAACAATATTTGCTGTTATGAGTGTTCATGGTAGAATAATATAGGTGGATGCATCAACTCTTGGGAACATTGATATGTCAAATTTTTTAAGTGCTTTGTCAAAAATAAGTCGATTTTTATATGTTTTCATATACGACGCAAATCGGAGGTTTTTCAACAATTTTTACAAATTTAAATAATTTTTCATTCACGATTTTCAATATCAAAATCGGTTTGACAGTTCATTGTCCCAGCAGCTGTGTCGATGCGACTACCTGTATTCTTCTGACATGCGAGTAGGTGTGTCAGGTTACTTTTCCTGCAGGAATTGTCCAGCAACATCTTTCTGAGAGAGTAAGGTAGTTTTATTCCCTTTTGCAAGGAAATTGCGAAAAGTAAACAGACGGTATTCCTGCAGAAGCTTGCAACTAATCGGCTGATTTGTCAAAACAAACCAATTTGTCCCCAATTAAAACAATTAAACGAAAGGAACCACCACCAATTTCACAAGCTTTATAAATAAAAAGGAAATTGACAATAACATAAAAATATGAGCAATAAAAGAAATATAGATTTGATGTGTTCCGCGGAATCCTTTAAACCTGTTGCTAATGGCATTTGTCTAAAAATGTTGGAAATAGTCTTTTATTTTCTTATTACATATTAATATTTATGTTTTTCACATTTTGTAAAGTTGTTCTCCAAAAACAATTAGTCTTGCTAATTCCAAAACAATATTTTCAAATTAAAATCACAAATAGAAATAAATAAACAATAGAAAACATATGATTGAATGTCGATGAATGGGAAGAAGAAGAGTTGCAAGAGATTGCAAGAAGAAAATAGGTGTGTCTGGTTACCCTAATATTTGTAACAATTGTTACAAATTGTTCCTGGAAGTCGTCTCTTAACCCGAAAGTTCTGTAAAAGAGAGACATTTTGACAGTTCTTTCAGTGAGAGTTTGCAAATTCTTGCTGGACAAATTTCTTCTTGCAATCACTTGCAACTCTTCTTCTTCTCATTCATCGACATTCAATCAGATGTTTTCTATTGTTTATTTATTTTTGTGCTTTCAATTTGAAAATATTTTTTTGGAATTAGCAAGATTAATAGTTTTTAGAGAACAACTTTACAAAATGTGAAAAACGTAAATGTTAATACGTAATAAGAAAATAAAAGACTATTTCCAACTTTTTTATTTAAAAAACTTGTAAAATTAGTATTGCTTCTTTTGTTTTTGTTTTCTCCTTATGGGGGACAAATTGGTTTGTTTTGACAAATCAGCTGATTAGTTGCAACCTTCTGCAGGAATATCGTCTGTTTACTTTTCGCATTTTCCTTGCAAAAAAGAATAAAACTACCTTTTCTCTCAGAAAGAAGTTGCTGGACAATTCCTGCTGGAAAAGTAACCAGACACACCTATTTGTCCAGCAAGAATTTGCAAACTCTCACTGAAAGAACTGTCAAAATTTCTCTCTCCAACCGCTCTCTTTTGCAGAACTTTCGGGTAAACAGACGACTTCCAGTAACAATTTGTAACAATTGTTACAAATTTTAGGGTAACCAGACACACCTAGTATTATTCTACCATGGCAGAAGAATACAGGTAGATGCATCAACGCTTGGGAGCATTGGTATGTCAAAAAAATTAAATGTTTTTCAAATATAAGTAGATTTTTTATATGCTTTCTTATACTACGTCATTCGGGGGCTATTATAATTCGTGTTTTTCAAAAATTTTTACAAATTTAAATAATTTTTCATTCAACATTTTTAATTCCAAAATTTGTTTGACAGTACATTGTCCAAGCAGCTGTGTCGACGCGTCTACCTATATTCTTCTACCATGTATTCTACCATGAACAACAGACAAAAAAGTGTAAACAAATGATGACATTACATTTGGTTTTTAAAATTTGCAGGCACACCTTTTTATTGCGCCATGGTTTGCTGTTTGAGAGGTTACGAGCACGTGTTGAGAGTGACAAAGCAAAACTGCACATTTTTTTCTAAGCGAAATAATTATTGTCAAAAAAAAAAATAAATTTATTGAATAAAAATAAACTTGCAGGCATCACATTGCAGTATTTGTTGCATAAAGATGCCTGGCACTGTTCCACCAGACATGGACTGTGATGTCGTTGAAGAGGAAGTGGCGTCAACATCCAATGGTGCTGTGTTTACAATTAATAACAAAGTTGCGGCAAACAAGAATACCAACGACAGAAAGAGGCAGCGGATTGATAAATGCAACTTGCCAATTAACGTTGATATATCAGATTTATCTAAAAGATTGTCAAGTCATAATCCAAGCGATCAAAACAAATATGGCATTTTGGGAGTCCTAGCCGACATGGATATTGAGGGCACACCTCCTGTAAAAAAAACCAAAATTCCTGCCGAGGATGGAGCGAAGAAGCCTGTAAAAACAAAATGGTGCCCACCAATTTTTGTTTTTAACGTTAATATCAAAACACTGATTGATAAGTTAAAAGATTCAATACCTCCAGGCACATTTAAAATTAAAAACATTAATAAAAATAAAAGTAAAATTTATTTTTCAGACCCCACTGTTCATTTGTCAATGATGTCAATTCTCAGGGATAAGAATATACATTCATATTCTTTTACACCAAAAGAACTCAAGCAGGTTTCGCTTGTACTGCGGGGTCTCTATGGAAACTACGATGATGATTATGTAAAATCAGAATTGGACCAAATCGCGCCAAACACTGTTGCAAATGTGACAAGGTTCAAAACAAAAATGTCCATCAAGAAACAATTGGACACTGGGCTTTATCTAGTATCTCTTTTGCCAGGAAAAACGTTAGGTGATATCTCCCATATAAACGAATTTGAGTACACAACAATTTGGTGGGAAAAACCGAAGAAAAAGGACAATGACATTCAATGTCACAGATGCCAGAGGTGGGGCCACATCTCTCGGAACTGTAATTCCGCATACAAATGCGTTAAATGTGACCAGGAACATGGTCCTGGAGAGTGCAAGAGGAATCCGTCGGATTCATCCAGTCCATATTGCAGCAACTGCGAGGAGTTTGGACATCCGGCTAATTTTAAGGGATGTCCAATGTACAAAAAGTATGCCACCGCCAGACAACAACATCAAAAAAAGATCACTGAAGTCAAAAACCAAGCAATTAGTAACATAAAAGAGGCATTGCGGCCATCTGTAGTATTACCTGGTACTAGTTTTGCCAGTATGCTCAGAACACCACCTTCTGCAAAGACACATCAAAAACATACGCCATCAAAACCAAAAGTAATCGAAGAATTCCTCAAATTAGTGAACGTTTTCTTACAGCCTGAGGAATTATCACTAGAAGAAGAGGTAGATGTATTTCTATCAAATTACAATACAATGACAAAAGTAGAAGCTAAGTCTGAATTTCTCCGGCTTCTAAATAAAGTTAAAAGCACTTATGGACCATAAGTCAATAAGTCTTTTAACATTCAATGTCAGATCTCTCGTCGACAGAAGTAGGCAAATTGATCTGTATAATATTCTACGTCAAAACAATATAGATATTGCATTTATACAGGAGTGTCATTTGAGAAGAAATAGAAGAATTAAAATACCAAATTATCATTTTATACGTGACGATTCATCTGTGGGTGTTGCAGTTGTGATCAAGACCAATTTTATATATAATCGGGTTGTACCTGATAATGTGACATTTTTCACATCGTTAATCAAGACGGAAATCAAAATGAACAACGAAAGACGAAAGTATATAGTTGGTTCGGTTTATATACCATGCCACTACAACACCCAACTTCTTGAAGCCGATTTGAATAATCTCAACACTTTTCTTGATAACTACGACGGATTTATCCTTGGAGGTGATTTGAACTCTCGTAGTCCAGACTGGGGCGACTCCGTTGAAAATTCAAATGGTAAGGTTTTAAAAAAATGGCTAAATGAAAATATTCTGAATGTAAACAGGATCTGTGACTCTTCGCCGTCATACCCTAACGGTCCGTCATATCTAGACCATTTTATTGTCAGTGCCAACCTAGTACACAGTAATCTGGATAACTGTAGAATTTCATCTTTACCTACCTTCTCAGATCACTTTCCAATCAAACTAACTATGGACCTTAGAAGAGTTGAATTCATCATTAAGCCTTCAAGGATGTATACCTCATACAGAGACACAAATTGGAACAGTTTTCAATGTGATATAGACCAAGAAATGGAGAGACTGATGCCTTCTACCAGAAGAAACTTATCCAACCAAGAGATTGATAATCTAATAAGTGAATTCAATAACACCATATCCACACTTCACACTAATCATTCGACCTCTATTGAAATATTAGACTCTAAATTTCCACTGTCTGAACGAACGAGAAAACTGTATAAAATGAAGCACCAATGGCAGAAGGAACTTAAAAAAATTTTCCACAGATGCGGAAATAGACTTAGCCGTGAGTATGCCATTTTATCTAAGCAAATACAATTACTTAAGGTAATAATAAAAGAGTCCGTGAACATAGAACAAGCCAAACATTTCAGTAGCAGGTTGGAAAACATAAAACCTGGTCCATCGGCATTTAAAGAAATATATCGCATTTCTGGCAAAAGAAAATCTCCATTTTGTCAAAGAATAATACATAACAATAACATAATCACAAATACCAATGAAATTGTTGAGTTATTCCAGAACCATTTCTCATCTACTTTTCAACATTCGTCTCCACAACAACCTGTTGCTGACCTTGATGCGAGAATATCCTCTGTCACCGGTGCAGTCCCTGAGCACATTTACTCATTTGATAGCTCCTTTCAATCTCTCAATAACACTGACAGCTTCCACTTCACAAAGGCTGGGGAAGTTAGAAATATTGTCAATAATATCAACAATAAGAAGTCTTGTGGACCAGACGGATTATCAAATTTTATTATAAAAAAACTCCCTGAAACTGCCTTCACTTTTTTGGCAATAATATTTAACAATTGCATAAACAATGGATACTTTCCTACTGCGTGGAAAGCAGCTAAAATAATCCCCATTAAAAAGAAAACTGACAGCGAAACTGTCTCTGATTTTCGACCAATTTCATTGTTATCAAACATTGGCAAAGTCCTGGAGAGGATAATGAAGGGCAAGATTGAAAACGGCTTCATAATTGATCCTGTACCTAATTTTCAATTTGGATTTAAGCAGGGACACTCAACACAACATGCACTCATTAAGTTTCATCACGATATCACCAAAAACCTAAGAAACCAAAAATGTACAGTAGCTATATCACTAGATATAGAAAAAGCCTTTGATTCAGTATGTCACAGTGCCATCTTATATAAACTTGTAGAGCTGGAAACAGACCCATACATTGTTAAACTTATACAGAGTTACCTGTGTAACAGAACGTTTACAGTACAAATTCAAGACAAATCTTCATCAATTGGTCCTGTGAACAGTGGGGTCCCACAAGGAAGCGTGCTAGCTCCATACCTCTTTAATCTGTTTCTCAACGATTTTCCCCATGTCGTACAAAATTCACAGGCTATATTATATGCAGATGATTGTTTAATATATGCCCATGATAGCAACCCCGCAGAAGCACTAAATAAAGCTGCTTACCACCTAGGAGTAATTAAAGAGTATTATCAGTCCTGGAACATTAAAATAAACGCCTCAAAGTCGGAAGCCATTTGTATACGGAATGCTTCTGGGAAATGTCCTCAAAAAGTAGTTCCTGAAAGCAAAAGACTGCAACTGATTCTGGACGAAATTGAAATCCCATTCCACAGCAATATAAAATATTTGGGTATCCAGTTTAACAAACTTTTAAAATTCAATACACATGGACGTTCTGCGATACAGAAGGCGAAGCGTATATCTGGAGCCTTTTCTTACCTGTTTAATAACCAATATTTGCCGCAGAAAACAAAACTTCTTATGTATAAAGTTGCCATTAGACCTATTTTGCTATACGGATTCCCAATCTGGTTCACTATCTCTCCTATAGTGGCCAAAGAATTGGAAGTCTTTGAAAGAAAAATCCTCCGAAAGTGCATTAACAAACATTACTTGTGTCATGACAAAAAGTACTCCAATAGTTTTGTATATGAAACGTCTGGAGTTCAGCCGCTCTGTAACTATGCATTTAATTATCAAAAGCTATTTATCGAAAGATTGGCCACACATGAGAATGATTTGTTAAAAGAAATCTTTGAATATGAAAAGTTACTGCGCTGGTCTGGATCGGCATACATATCACCTGTTGGAATCATAAACGAAAATCTGGACATCGGTCCAGAAACATACACACTTCCAGATTTTTATAAAAAAACAATACCTGGCTCGAACCGGGGCTAATCTAAACTACCTAAAAAAAACCTAAATTAATATTTATAATAATATTTTAACATGTTGCTTATAAGCTTAATATTATGAGCGCTCGATTTACATATACATGCACATATATTTGATTTAAACAAACTGTGATATTTTTTATGTACGAAACACACACTTTTTAACTCTACTGTTAAATCATATCTCTGTTGTACATTGCTTTAACAGATCGTTGTTATCTATTTATTAAGTATTGATTAGTATTTTAAGTTATTTATTTTGTAACAGACTATAAAGCGCTGTTTGTCATTCCAAGGCCGTGAGCAAGCCTTTCAAGAATTTATCATTTAATCGAAACGTTCATGTTTTATATAAATTGTCAAAAGTGCACAGTAGCATACCTCGTCGACATAGTGTATTAGAACAAGACGATAATAATTCTAAGGTTATATGTTATCATTCGAACTGCATAACACTATCACATAGAAAAAGAAGAAGACTCAATAAAAAAATTTACTTACTTACTTGCGCCATGGTTTGTTTACTTCTTAATTACGTTCGTTGCTAACAGAAAATATTTAAAACATAAAGCTTTATTTAACTTTTCTTAGATTAAAATGTCCGAAATTCAGGATTGTTCGGTTAAAAATAAGAAGGCTAATGCTATTTTAAATTCTAGTGACTATTTCCACAATTATATTCTACACGAAGAACGGCGCATACATGAAATAGAATCTGCGAAGCAATCGTCCAATGAATTTCCCCAAGGCATTAGCACGTTGGACATTTGTCAGGAGCTAAAACAGTTTAAAAAACAAGTATTTTTGGATGAGAAGCGCAGACAACAACTGAGAAACGACAACCATGAATTGCGTTTGCTGCAGAACCAGCTTCAGTCTGCACTGGTATCCAAAGAGCTGCAGGAGCAAATTGATGCACTAAAAAAACAAAAGGAGCAGGATATGCAGAGAAAGAGAGAAGAAAATGCTCAGTGGGAGGTGGAATGTGAAAGGGCCAAAAGGTCCATTTTGGAAGAGGAGGAAAAGGAGCGGCAAAGAAAAACACAAAATCGAATTTTACTGCAAGAACAAATGTGTGAAGTGCAAAACAAACGTAAACAGGAATTGGAAACAGTCATGAAGGATCGTGAGGATATGCAAAAAACTTTGAAACAAATAGAGGCGGACAGACAAAGAGAAAACGACATATCTTGGAGATTTCGTGATCTATGCCGAAAGGAAATGGAAGAATGCATACGTATTAGAGAAGTTCAAAAACAATTGGAAAGAGAAAAAAACCTTGACGATAATGAACGTCTCTTGGCCTATCAACGTGAACGGGACGAACTTAAAGAAAGGATGGAAGCCGAAAAGAAACGTATAATCACAGAGAAAATGGCATTAAGTGAAAGAATTGGCAAGGAGTTAGACGATATAAATAAAGAAAAGCAGAAAAGAGATGATGTATTGTTGTCACTACTTGTCGAAGAACGCAGGGCAAAGGAGGACATTAAGCATCGCCAAATGCTTGAAAAACTGACAGAGGAACGGACAAAATTACGATCTGAATTGGAAAATTATCGCCGAGAAATTGCAACACAGAAACAGCGTAAGTTTGCGGAAGAAGAACGCCAAATGCGTGAAGAATGTTTGCGCCAACTGGCAGAACGTGATAAACTAGATCAATTGTCAAATGAAAAACGCAGGAGAAAAATTGTAGAGCACAACAGAGCATTGAAAGAAATGATCGAAGGACGTCGACAACAACGTGCTAAGGAAATTGCCAATAGGATTGGAGAATTTGAAAATTTGCTAAAGGAAGAAAATGAAAGGTAACTTAACATGTTAATGGATAAGTTGATAAAAATAATCATTATTTTTTATTTGTAGGAATGATTGCATTGAAGCAGAACGAATACGAATGTTACAATCTGTACCTACAGAATTACTACGCTACTTACCACCAGGAATATTAAAACCATCAGATTGGGAGCATATTCCTTTATCTTCTGAAAAATAAAAAAATTAAATGCCTGCTTTTATCTCTTTTGAAATCTCTAATAATTTCATCACATAGTAAAAAAGACAGTAATTTTATGAATTTCTCAGTTACGTAAAAATGTTACGTAGTTCATTGGCCATTAAATGGATTAATTACAAAATTAATGTCATTAAAAATGATTTATTGTCAAATGAAATTTCTGCAGAAAAGTCCTAGGAAAATATACAGTCCAATCAGCTGCCCAAGTGTACCACATAATTCAACATGAGTAGGTGTGTGCGGTGTATTATTTAGTAACTTGATCTGAGAGTAGTATCTCTCAGGTGCAAATATTTATTAGAATTGGTTTATTTTAAGAATTTAATAGAACTGCGGTAACAGCAAGGACACATCTTAACATGAAATGGCAAATACGCATTAAGACAATACAGTACAACGTTAGAGTCAAAACTAATTAAAATACGAAGCTAAAATTTTGTACAGATCAGTCTTTTGTCTGCAGTCAAGTTCGAAGATAGTTTATATCAGTCCACGATATCGTTTAGCCCTCATATAACGGTACCTCGATATTCGGTATTTTGATGATTCTAGCCAATTTTTTCAATGGAATTGTCTCAAAGTCCACACAAGGAGTTCCTTCTGAGTACCTTACCCCCTGGAGAAGAATTCTCTATATAAGTACACACGTATATCCTCCATACAAAGATCCTACCGATATTCGGTATTTTGATGATTGTACCCAAATTTTTATGGAATTGTGTAAAAATCCACAACAGGAGCCCTCATATAACGGTACCTCCCCGTATATGGTCTTTGATGATTTTAGCGACATTATTCACCCAAATTGTTTAAAATTTCGTATTTGAAGTTCGAAATGAGTATAAAAACCTATGACAGAATATTACCTATGCAGGTCTACGTCTTCGAATAGCCCATGGTAGAATCATGAAGGTAAAGTCATTTCAAATAAGCATTTCCATCTCTGCGTTTTCTGTAACTGAGCTTGTCAAATACAATCTTTCATATGAACTGTCACAACAAAAACAAGACAGGTTTATTTACATTTATAAATATTAAACCAGTTTGGTTTCAATTTAGAAGGGTTGTTGCTTTTTCCACGATTTCCTAGCGATTGCTTGAAATGTTGAGAGTTTTGGGCCTATAGCTAATAGCTATACATTCAGGGGAATGAGTATTTTAAGAACTATTCTTCTGCATTTAAAATTCAAAAATGAATAAATTAAATGAACGTTTTTTTAAATTTAAATAATCACATTAAAATTAATTATTTTGTTTATATTTTTTGACATATAACTCTGGCACTTGTATTACGTACAAAAACAAATTTGTATGTGATTATTGTTAGGTTTGTTGTACAACAACACTTGCTGTTAACTTGTATTATTTGTATTGTTCTACCATCATCTTAAACATATATTGAAATATTCAATATATTTTACAAAAAAATGCTCCGAATCAAACGTTTAACTCTAGTTTAGTAAAAACTCTTCACTTTGGAAAGGGACCCTAATGAGCCCTTTTTCGACTTTTTGCGGGTTTTATAAAAAATCCGGGACCCAAAAATCGATAATTTGACTATAACTTCCGAATCACGACAACTTGTTGGGTAGGTATTTTAATAAACTTTCCAACGATATCTACATTGGGTTTTTACTAAACTAGAGTTGTTCCAAATTTGATGTCTGCATACAATGTGGCCGAATTATAATGTGAATCTGTGTGCATGGAATTAAAATTGAGTCGATGAGCCACTTTAATGTTATGGGCATGGTACAATAAAAAGGTAAGGTAGAGCTCCCAGCTGATTACAACTTTTTTCTAAGTGTGCCCGACTTCTGCCAATTTTGTGTATGTATTTGCTGTTTTGAAAAACAAAATATTTTCAAAATCAATGATTGGAAGAAACTAGATTTGCCATGGAATTGAAATATTGAACACTTGGATCATATTTTTGAGAGAACATTAAGACATTTCATTAATCTTTTGCGCTATTTGACTCATTTTAGAAATTAACAGAAAATACTAAATTAATGAAAACGATTTGTTGCCTATAGCCTCAGGGCTGTTTTTCAGTAGTTATACGAAGCTGTTCTACCTCCTTATTGTACCATGGTTATGGGGAAAACATATTGTTATACCCATGGCTCAATAGGAAAGGTTGCTCAACTTCATAGAAACTAGGAAAATGCAACTCTGTGTCAAATAGAATTTTAAATATGCAACAATTATTTTGTTTATTTTTCAGGTTTAAACAAAATTCTCATATTGGGACGAACCCGCGAAGCAAGAATCGGAATTTTTGGGTTATTCCATAAGATTGAATGTAAAATAGTAGGAGAATACAGTTTAATCCCAAAATTTTAGAATGTTTTGAATGTTTATTTTGTAACCAAATTTGAAATAATTTCAAATTATATTTTTTATTCAAAGCTATACACGCGCAAAATAAATGCATATTTTCGACGTTAACTCATTGTACAATTTTGGGATAAAACTGTATTGTCCTACTATTTTCGATTAAATCTTGTGGGATAACCCAAAATTCCATTCTTTTTTCGAGTGTATCTATCTAGTTTAGTTAGTACATCCAACAACAAGTTTTCTGTCAAAAAACATATTTAATTCGAAGTAATTCAAATCATAGTAGTACAAAAAATAAAAAGTTTATTATAAAATTGTTGTCTGAAGTAGTCTTCTTGCCCGACCTTATGTAGTGTAAAAACCATTAAGTTTATTGTCAAATAGCTCTCAAAAGTAGTACTCTTGTCCGTGAGTTGATAGTTTAATAGGCTTTGCGTTCTATTAAACGTCGTCCGCCGAGCATTGTGATTTAAACCTTGTAGCCACCAACTGTGCTATCATTTCACAATTACTTACTTGCTTCCTAAAAAGAAGAAGAAAATTTATTTAGTCGACGAAAATTCACATATTGCGAGTTATTTTTCTTTTGGAAAGTTCAAGATTTTTTCGTAAACGGTTATATATTTGCAATCACCTGTCGAACTGTGGAAATAAAAGCTATTACAAGTAATTTTGTATATCCAGCTCGATATGATGACGGCATCAGAAACAGCTACCAATGCTGCTCCCTCAGAAAGAGGTCAAAGAGGTGTGAGTCGCGTCCTGGCCAAATTAGATAGTTCCATAGAGTCAGGGAACTACTATGAAGCCCATCAAATGTATCGAACATTATATTTCCGTTATACAGCACAGCAAAAATTCGATGAATGTTTGGAGTTGCTTTATAATGGAGCTTTGAAGTTAATTTCCAAACAACAAGAAACTAGCGGTGCAGATTTAGGTCTGCTTCTCTTGGATACATTGGAAAAGCGAGGTAATAGCAAAAAGGATGGCGATCTGTGGGTGGAACGGATCGGTAATATAATTACATGTCTTAATGCTGGCTGTGTGGAACGTGAAACCCTAATTGTAAGAGCAATGCGGCAAACGATTTACATTTATACAAAATAATGAAATTATCTTTCAGAACCGTTCCATTAAATGGAGTGCAGAAGTTTCGGGAAATTATCCAGGTGACCCTGCCTTGTATAAAATTTTAGCAAATGTGTTTTGGTCTGAAGGTAACACAGAATTGGCTCGACGGTATTATATGCTTTGTCGCGATGGTAACCTTTGTGGCCGAATTCTTATCAAAATCAACGAAACTAAAGGCTACAAGAGCGAAGTGGATCTGTTTATTGTACAAGCCGTCTTACAACAAATCAGTTTGAATGATCGCAAGACCGCAGAGGACACATTCACTGCATATACACGTTATCATCCAAAAATAAGTCGCAAAGAGGCCCCGTTCAAACAACCGCTATTGAACTTTATCCATTTTCTCTTCAGATTAATGGACACAAAGAATTTAGAAGCCTTTAAAGCTCTATGTACATTATATAAAGCAGAATTAGAACGAGATCCCGCATTCGAAAAGTACTTGACTAAAATAGGAGTACAACATTTCGGTGCTAATCCGCCGGTATCAGAAAGCCGATTTGGGGGTATGTTTGGTGATGTTATATCCCGTTTGTTGCAAGGTATCGATGAAGATGATGACGATGAAGGCGACACTGGCCGCGGCGTCGGGGAACGTGGTCAAGGCGATGGTGCTCACGCTCTAGACTGACGTAATAGTAGTCCAGTGTGGTGGGAGTAAACGACTATATATGTTGCTATGTATAAATATGTTTCTAAAGTTACACTTAGTAATTTTATTGTCTGCATTGCTAATTATTTGATTTTTTATTTCGTGAACATATAAAAATTGTGTCCTTAACTGATTTTTTGTTTGATATATTTTGCTTAGTTTTTTAACAATCATATTATAAATGATATAATATAGATATTTAAATTATATTTAGAATTTACTTTTTGTAAGGTCAATCTTCGACTGAATTTTAGGTTTGGATAAATGTAATGGAGATGAAACAAGATAATTTTTATCACCAGCATTAAAAGTAGGGCGAAAGTAACGAAAACTTCATAACATGGTACAATGATGACATATCTTTCAATTATACGTTTATAATTTTTATACACTCAGCCATATGGCTATAGAGGGTATATATCATTTGATACAGTCAGAACGGGCCTAAAACTTTAGGTCTCTTTAGACCGAATCCTTTAAACGAAATTTGGTGTTAATCTTGCGTTTTCCGATCGTAATATCAAACATAGATCGAGTTCAGAGATGGGCAAAACGTCAAAATGCGCAAACTTTCCAAATCGTTATATTTTTAACCTAGCTACGTCAGGATTGAAAATGGACAATGTTAAAAATTTGAACATTTATAACTGATATAAAATCCTTAATATGAGTCCGATTGTCTTCAAATTTTGCACATCTCAATTTTTTACCAACACAAAATCGGATATGAAGAACTGATTAAACGGACAACTCATTCTGGTACCTCCCCCACAACAGATCAAAATGTTCAATAGCCATCAGCCGCATAAAAAGCGAATAAAAAACATGGCTCATCGTAATATTTCTATCAACGCAATATCGGGTGGGACGTATCGGACCACCAATTCTGGTGACACAAGATCTGGTGTGAATATGAGATATATCCTCATTACCCATATATTACCTCACCCATAAAGAGCCAAAATTCTTAACATTTATATTTTTTTCATAGAAATTTAAAATTTTAATTAACAATTATTCGCATAAAATTGAAAATAAATGGTCTATTTTCTTTCTTCAGAACTACCCTCATAAACGATTCAACAGTTTGAATAATCATAACGCAACTGTTAATATAGTTAAATAAATGGATAGTGCATGGTAGAAGAATACAGGTCGATGCATCACTTAGGAACATTGAACATGCGCTTAGGAACATCAATATGTCAAAAATGTTGAAATGTCTTTTCAAATATAAGTAGATTTTTATATGTTTTCTTATACACTTTTGTGGGTCTTCTTAAATATTAGTGTTCAAAAATTGATTATTTTTTTATAACTCCCAAACCGATTTAAATAAATATTTCATCTGACCACTTGTTGAAAAAATATTTTTATAAAATGTGATAACTATATTGTCCACATAGGGTAAGCAAATCCAAGTCTTGAACCCGGACTTTCAGGTCAAACATACTACGACTCTTCCCACAAGAAAGTACGTTCCCGTAATTAGGTTAAAAATATATGAAAAATCAAGCAACCAGAGAGTTTTTACTCAACTAAAGATAATGGTGTGAAACATAGGTTGCTCATTTGTCGCGGTAAAAACAGATTTACATACGAAATATCTACCCGTGTAAAGCCTTTTAATAGATAAATCACAATAAATTTATGTTTTCTATAGTCCAGTTTATTGTACAAATTTTGTATGTAAACATCGAATTTTTTGTATGTAAACGTACTTTAAGCCGGAGTGATTTTGTGTGTAAACGCATGGCAGAAGAATACAGGTAGATGCATCAACGCATGGAAGCAGCGATATGTCAAAAAAATTTAAATGTATATATATTTTCTTATACGACGTCATTCGGAGGTTGTTATAATTCGCGTTTTTTAACAATTTTTACAAATTTAAATAATTTTTCATTCAACATTTTCAATTCCAAAATTGGTTTGACAGTTCATTGTCCCAGCAGCTGTGTCGACACGTCTACCTATATTCTTCTACCATGGTGTAAACGTGTTAATAAGCTGTTCATGTTTACTACCTTAAGAAGTCTCTTCTGTCAGTCTGTAGAACCCTGGATGTCAGTTTTCAACCTCTGGATCCATTGAAACGTTAGTTTTTCAATCTGTTGATCCCTTGCAAATCTAATTTTTGACGTGAATTTTTTTGTGCAAACTGAATAAGTGTGTGTATGATTGCAGTAAGAGATTGATAAATATGTTAATTTTGGTGAGAAAAAAGTTTTAAAACAATTTGGGGGACAAATAAGTGTGGTACAATACAAGAGCACTACGATGAAAGTGCAAAGCTTTGCGAATTATGAAATGCGATGAAAAAGAAGAACGAAAACAATTGATTTATATGACGGGTTAAAAACCAAGGAGGCAAAAGTCATTACAAACAACAAAAATTTAGTGACATCGCATTGTTTATTTGCCCCCCCCTACGAACATATGAAGAAATGATAAAAATATAATTAGACATCCAACGTAATTGATACTTACTTTTAGTAAAATTTTGTGGAAACCCGAAAGAGAGGATTGCAACAAGCTAAAATAGTAGAAATTATCAGTTGGCGACGACGAAATGAGTGATTCTCACAATAATCTGAATACAATAACAACGAAAGCCGTGATCGAGGCAGCGGTCGAGTCATCTAATGTAGACCTCGGTGAAACTGATGCCAATGAGACGAGAAATGTGGAGGAAAACATAGGTTCTGCCACACCCGTGGTCGCTACAACATCCTTAAAAGTCATTTCGGAAGACGGAGGAAGAACTGATGATGACAAGCAGCAAGATATTGAAGAAATTCGACGGACTTCAATACACTCGAGTACGTCTGCCATAAATATACTAAGCTCAGTTGGAGATATTATAAGCCTGCCATCAAGTTCGCGGCAAACAAATGCAGATGCTGCTGTCGGTGTTAGCAATAGTGTGGCTGATGCCTACCAGCCGCAAGATGAAGCAGAGGGCGAACGAAGTTGTTGGATTTGCTTTGCCACGGACGAAGACAATCGATTAGCTGCTTGGGTACAGCCATGTAAATGTCGTGGCACTACCAAATGGGTCCATCAAAGCTGTCTTTATCGCTGGGTAGACGAAAAACAAAAGGGCAATGCTTTACGTACAGTTAATTGCCAACAATGCCAAACTGAATATATTATAGTTTTTCCCCAAATGGGAAAAGTTGCAAATATACTAGAAGCTTTTGACAACATAATAAGACGTGTAAGCCCATTTCTAGCTGCAGGTATATTTGTCGGATCTCTCTATTGGACCGCAGTAACATATGGCGCAGTAACATTTTTACAGGTGAGTACTCTTCTTTTATCGAACTTGATTATTCACTTTCATTTAAATTTCGTATTTATTTCATAGATTGTTGGGCACAAAAAGGGCTTAGCTCTAATGGAAAATGGAGATCCAATATTATTGCTAATTGGCCTTCCAGTCATACCTGTTGGTTTGGTACTAGGTCGTATGATCCGCTGGGAGGATGCTGTTATTCGCCTTATTCGTAACCGAAGGAATGTGGCTCGTAAACTACCACTTATGAATTTCATTATACCTTATCCGTAAGTTTCTTGTCACCTTTGAATAATGTTGATAATAATTTGAAAAAGAGGCAATGCAAGAAGTAGATTAAGTTGCTGGCAACTTCGTCCATAACGTTAAGAATTTTTGATATATTGTAAGCAGCAAACTATCAGATGTAAAGGTTGATATGTAGTAACACATGCTATGATTTTTCACATATTAAAGATATTTTTGCCCCGTGTAATCTCTGAAAGTTTAGTTCCGCCAAAAAGGGAAATAGCAGTGATTTGCAGAGTTCTAAGTTATCCACGTCTTATTGTTCAATTTCTTTACTAAAATGATTTTTGGAAACACTGTATCATTACATATTGAACTCGGAATAAATGTTGGTATTGAACTCGGAATTAATGTTTTCCCTGGGGCAAATTAAAATTGTTTAATTTGAATGAAAAAGTCCGAAGTACTACAATTACACTACAATTACATCGGAAAATGTGTTGTTTTTATACCCTACAACACTATTTGTTGGGGGTATTAAATGTTTGATTGGGCCAAAAATTATATAACGCCTCGAAATATTGGTTTCCCACTTAGAAAAGTACATATGGATCTTCCTATCTCGCCGAGCTGAGTCGATGCATCTACGTATGTCCGTCCGTCCGTCTGTCCATGTTAATTTGTAATCACGCTACAGGTCGCAATTATGGCCCGATCCTCACGAAATTGAAAATGTTTGTGCAGTTATGGTCAGATGATCGCATAATATTTGGGGGTTGAAATGAACCAAAAACTGAACAATTTCTGATTTTGCAGTTGCTCTACAGGATTATCGCAATTATAGACCAATCGACGACGGAAGTTAGCATGGGGCTAGAGCCTAGGACTGGGCATAAGTCTTCCAATTTTGATGGTTATCGGGTAAAATTTTGTGGTGAAATAGACCATAACATTTGTGTTAAATAAAAGTAAAATTTTACATTAAACCGCAAATATTTTTAATTCAGGCGAAATCAATTTGACTGATATTGAAGTGTATATTTTTTTAAATTTTTTTTCACCTTACAACACAAGTTGGGGTTATTATATACAAATTGCAATTATCGTCCGATCCTCACGAAAATTTTTACAAGGGTAGGGTTAGGCTCAGAAGTGCTAGCCCTTTTGTTTTCCAAGGTCACATATAGAAACCAAAGAACGCGAAATTTCGCATGAAGTTAGAGTTTAGACCAGCGGGTACTACTACTTTTGTGTGAAAAAATACCAACATTTCCATTCTACCGAAACGCTAAAAATAACTTACAGTCGAAATCCAAAATACACAAAGACGAACTTCGGACTTTTTATGCTGATTTCCTTGACGAATTTAGCAAAATAGACAAGCAAATCATATAGATGAGCCTAAATTTGGAGATACGGAGAGGCCTCTTGCTTTTGGAGATAATCGCACAATAATTATGGGGTTCAAATGAACCACAAACAGAAAATTTTCCTGATCACACAATTGAAACCAATCGACACGGAATTTTGCAGAAGAAGAGAGTTAAGGATAGGGAAGAATTCTAGAATTTTGGATTAGCATTGGATTATATTTAGCTGTAAAATGGACCACAACAACTAACAGCACGAAGCAGTGCGTAAATATTGGGTAAATGTCCCTGGTCAAAATGCTAAGGGTAATATCTAGGCAGTGCTCCGTGACATCATTTTAAAAGCGAAATATTCCAAAGTGGATTTGGACATAAGGGGTCTTCTATACTATATACGACTATAGCCTTTGCTTACTTGTTTGAGAATAAACACGGTTTCCAGCGGAAAATATTAAAACGATAAAAAAAGCAATTGATTAATATAGAGGTCCATGAAGAAAAAAAATTAGTAAAGTAAATAGGACAAAGCATTAATGGCAGGGATTAAACGCACACAAAATAAGCAATAGATTTCGGCAGCTGTTCGTAATGGATACTACAGCCTAAGACAGAAAATTGTCTGTACAGGTCCACGTCTTTGTATAACCCCCATATAACGGTACCCCCCGATATTCGGTATTTTGATGATTTTAGCTACATTATTCACCAATTTTTTTAGGTTTCGCATTTGAATATTGTAATGGCTTGTGACAAAAGTTACCTATGCAGGTCCATGTCCTCGTATAGACCCTAATATAACAGCTACATTCTGTATTTATAAGAATTCAACAGAATTTTTAACGAATTTTATTGTTTTTGAGAATTACCAAATTTTATTCCAAATGGTGGAGGTTATTCAAAGTTCGGGCCGGCCGAACTTACAGTCGTTTTACTTGTTTCTAACTATTGAATCATAAAACTACTTAAAAATAATTATAAAAATGAATAATAATTGTTTACAAATTTAATGATTTTTACTAAATTAAACTGTTTTTAAACTATTGAGATATTTTGTGTTTCTTTTTTTAGAGAGGAAGATGAAGAGCAAACAGCACAAAATCCTGCAACTCCAACATTATCGGATCCAGTTTCGGCAACACGTATATTTTGCGGAGCTTTACTTTTGCCAACCATATCATCAATTGTGGGACGACTATTATTTGAATCGATTGAGAACACATTGCATCGGACGCTTTTGGGAGGTCTTACGTTTATAACGGTAAAGGGTATTTTGAAAATTTATCTGAAACAACAACAACACACCCGCAAAAAGAAACGTCGCATTGTTGACTATACCGAGGAAAACGTTCGCGTCTATGTGAATCGTTCTAATTCAACCAGAAGTCAGGGTAATACTGCTGGTTCAACAGCAGCACCAGGTGCTAATCAACAACAACAACAAGCAAATGTGCCAAGACCTAATGAACGCGACAGTGTAGTGTAGGGGAATTCAGGGAACTTGAAAATTACGAAATTTGTTGGTAAGACCACTACGTAAAAGAAAACAAAAAAACAACTTATTAAAAAGGTTCCGTCGTATAGTAGTTAAACTTTTTATATATAACTAATAATATGTGCTGTTAACAATGCTCTCACTTTCTTCTAATCAAATCAAGAAAAATAAATAAATAAAAAAAAATATTAATTATTATATCTTATGAATTTTTGAAATAAAATAATTCGAGAAAAACTTGACTAGGCGTAATAAACTAATATAAAGTAACCCCCTTTTATATCTAACAAATATGTGGGTAAACTGTCACACGGAAACGTACGTATGGGCGGTCATATTTCTGTAATTTACTAACCATTCGTTTTGTTAAAACAACATACAAAATTATAAAATCATGGCACAACATGTTAATAAGGAATCGATCAAATGATTTTGAATTTTATATAAAGTTATCGATTCTATAAGTAAATGCAACACACACATACGAAATATGGCATAATGGGACACAGTACAAGAATGTATTTTTTTTTTTTTGATAACAGACATGATTACAATATTTAGATAGTTTTAATAATTTAAAAAAATTGCAAAAAAATTATGATGATAGATTTTTATATATTTAATATGTAATATTTTAATATAAAATAGAATTTTTGATAGATAATATTTGTCCCCTTATTTTTTGGTTTTTTTTTATATATTACATTAAACTTCTTTAATGTCGGTCCATAATGTAATTTTGCTTGAGATTTCAAAGATTATTTGTCTGCATATCTGTTATCTGCTTTTTGTTGTATGTCTACATTGATACAGATATTATAATTTTGGGCAGTAATTAGGTCTTCCAGTTTTGCCAAAATAATACAATCAATAATTATTTCATTTTCAACGTTTGGCTCTGAAAATAAAGTAGGTTTAGTGTACATGTGTCTCAATCCTGCCATATTATTCAATTACATTTTTTATATAGTTTAGATGTAAACGATACCGGAAAGATAATGAGAAAAAAATATATTTGTAGCTTTAATCTAATTAATCTCTCATAAATGTACTATTAAGAAATTGTATATTTTATGCCATACATTACTGTGTTTTTGTTTTTAATTTTTATGTACTAACAAGAAAATACCAAATGTGTTATTTGGTAGTTTATTGAAATCACAGCAGACCTAGGATAAGTGATTTCGCAAAAAAATCAAATTTCATTCTTTTTTTTTATGGAATCAACTTTTGTTGCAAGGAACCAATGTTATTTGTTAAAGATATATATATTTTGCAGTCATTTTAAATTACATATATTTTATTAAAAATTTCATTTAATAAATAATTGAAATAAGCTATAATAAAAATGCATTACATTTCTTTTTATACCCTCCACCATAGTTTGGAGGGTATATTAACGTAAAATTCAAAGTCGAATTGGCGATGTCCGTCTGTTTGTCTAAAATTTTGCACACATGTTTATTTTGCCAGTAGGCAGGTTAAGTTCGTAATTGGCCATGTAGGTCCACGTTTTCATATAGCCCCCATATAACGGTTACTCCCGATATTCGGTATTTTGATGATTTTAGTTGTTGTTGTTGTAGCAGTAGTGCACGTATGTGTTTGTGTTCTGCTAATCTGGTTCCAGCTCCAGGTTTAGAAATTCGGCTACTTTAACGGGCTGTAGCCAGAGATCCTCTGGAGTGAGTTGGGTAGGTTTGGCTGAGCAATTAAAAAGGTGTAGCGTATTGTGCGGGCCTGTATCGCACGCCGGGCAGGCGTCACGCACATCTTCATCAATTCGTGCCCAATACGAATTGAGGCGACTACACCATCCTGAACGTAATTGCGCCAAAACTACCCTGGTTTGTCTAGGCAGCTGACGTTCTTCGGCTGCAATGGATGGGGGGTGGACTCCGAGGACGGCATTCACTTTATAACTGCTCATAGCATCCGCGACTGCATCGGTGTGAATGCCACTCAGACCTGCCTGATAGGCTTCTTGATCTAGAGGCTCTCTCTTGTAGCGCTGGACCTCCCTCTCTAGATCATGTATGTCCTTCCTGACACGCCTGGGTGGGGGAGAGTTATCCACCATATGATGGTTGGGATGACTCTCACGGTAACACCCAAGCAGGTACTGCAACGAAAGCATATGATTATGCTGACGTAAGGGAAGGACTTTCGCCTCCTCATGTAGATGGTCCACTGGTGTCATGAGGAGGCACCCTGTCGCAGTTCTCAGGGCAGCGTTCTGGCAGGTCTGGATATTCTTCCACTGCGTAGCACTAGTATTCGCAGACCACACTGGAGCCGCATAGTTGACCACAGACCGACCTATCGCGTTATAAGAGGTCAACAAGGTTTCTTTGTCCGCACCCCAAGAGCTGCCGGCTAGCGCCTTGAGGACCTTGTTCCTACTTTTCATCTTGTCGCAGATAGCTGTGGCTTGCGCGGACGACTTGAACATGCTGTCGAACGTTACCCCAAGAATCTTGGGGTAGTTCGTGGTCGGTATTAGATTCCCCTCGACCTGAACATTCAGCTGTGTTCTCATCTCCGCAGACCATGTGGTAAAGAGTGTGGCCGTTGATTTCGTGGCGGATATTTTCATATTCCTCGCGTGGAAGTATGCGGCAAGCTCCGCGAGATAGGGGTTCAACCTTTCGCATATGTCATCGACCACTGGACCCGACGCCATGATCGTACAATCATCCGCATACGTTACGATCTCAATGCCGTCTGGAGGGCGAGGAATTCCGGAAAGGTAGAGGTTAAACAGTTCCGGAGATATCACCCCGCCTTGGGGAACTCCCTGTTTCACTCTACGGGCTTTGGACTTCTTGTTCCGGAATTCCACGTACGACTGGCGTCCACACATATAGTTGATTATCCAACGTTTCAAACTTGGCCGGAGGGTAGTTCTCTGTACGTCCTCAAACAGTGTGGCATGATTGACCGTATCAAATGCCTTTGATAGGTCAAGGGCTACCAACACTGTTCTGTCACACGGCCTGTTCTGGTTCAGTCCTCTACTAATATGTGTGGAAATGGCGTGTAATGCTGTTGTGGTACTATGTTGTGGACGGAATCCATGCTGGTGGTTGGCAACTGTATAGCTTCCTCTAATGCTGGGGAGGAGTAAAGCCTCAAGAGTCTTTGCTACTGGCGACAAAAGCGAAATCGGCCTGTACGATTCGCCTTTACTGGCATCCTTGCCTGGCTTCAGTAGCGGGACCACCCGGCCCATTTTCCAGGTTTCGGGCACTATGTGGGTGGCTAGCGACAAATTGAGAACTTTCGTTAAGTACTCGACTCCCGGCGTATCCAGCTGCTTCAACATTACCATTGAGATTCCGTCCGGGCCCAACGCTTTGGATGACTTAGCGTTACAGATGACATTTGCAACATCACCCATCGTAAACTGTGGTGGTTCCTCCTCGGCGGGAAGAGATCTGATACGACGTAGTACTCTTCGCTTCGCCCTATCGCTCTCGGGGTGCTCGACAAATTGTCGGTTAAAATATTCCGCGCACCTCTTCGGATCAGTCACCGTTACGTCGTTAAAAGTGACTGAGGTCCTATCATCCTTTTTTCCAGGGTTCGAGAGCGACTTAACCGTTACCCACAGCTTACTCATATCGGTTCCAATGTTGCAGCACTTCAGATGGTCTAGCCACTTTTTCCTCTTATGCTCCTGTACCAACCGGTTGACTTCAACTGTCAAATCACTGATTCTAGGATCAGTAGGGTTGGTACGACGGAGATCATCACGCTCGTTTGCTAATCCCGCTGCCTCTGCTGGGAAGTTTGGTCTTATCTCGGGTATTCGACCAGCAGGTATATAGCGAGCGGCTGCAGCTCTGATGATGTTTCGGAAAATCCTTTCTGCTACCCGAACATCAGAAGGGTTGGGCAGTTCTCTGAAGCGGCGGTTGGTGAATTCTCTGAACTCTGGCCAGTGAGCTTTCCCATGGTTAAGGAAAGTGCGGCGTTCAGAGGTTATGAAATCGGGCGACCTGCTTATGGAGACGATTATCGGGAGATGGTCTGAGCCAAGAGAAATGACGGGTTGCCAAGTCACGTCATTTATCAGACCGGGTGACACTATGGTTAAGTCTGGCGAACTGTGACACTCTCCTCTTATTCGGGTGGGGGCATCCTCGTTAACCGTGCAAAATGTGGAGCAGTCAATCTGCTCTGCCAGCGCTGATCCCCTCTGGTCATTACCTAGGACGGAATGCCACAACTCATGGTGGGCATTAAAATCCCCTAGTACCAGGCGGTTATTGCCTACCAATAATGGGCTAATATCAGGCAAATAACGCGGTTCACAGCTATTAATCGGCGGGATATACACATTAAGCACCTCTACCTCGGCAGTTCCACACTTGACTGCTAATCCCATACATTCCATGTATGGATCACTAGAGACTAGCTCAAGCGAGATAGGTCTGTACTGAACAGAATGGTGTAACAGGAACGCTAATCCCCCACCTCCACTTCTGGTGCGATCCTTCCTTAGTACGTTGTAACCATAACAACGTTGTAGGCTGCAATTTTCATTCAGCTTGGTTTCCTGCACCGCTGCGATCTTAATATTCCTCCGACTCATAAATTCCACTATCTCATCAATTTTGCCTCGAAGTCCGTTGCAATTGAATTGCAAGAATGATGCACAATCCGGAGTTGGAACAGCAACATGTGGCGTTAGGTGCTGCGGTGTTGGTTGCTGTTCTGGAGACTGCGGTGGAGTGCCATACTCCGACGACGTCTCTGACGAGGACGACGAAGAAGAGGACTCGCTGGGGACTACGTTACTGCAGCAAGTCGCAACATAATCCCTTTCGCTGTAGTCTCGCAAACGCCTTAATCCGGAACAGTTCTTGAAGTGCACCCACTCTCTGCATCCATTACATCGCACCGAGACAGATCTGTGGTGGATGACGTTCTGACAAACCGAGCAGAACCAAGGTCCGGGGTTTTCCTCAATCCCGGCACGGACCAATAAAATCCGGAGCAAGCATTCCGGGATATGCTGCTCCCAATGCAGAAAAATAAACAAACACAAACATGTACATACTGGGTTGGCAGCCGCTGGCCGAAACTGGAATCTTGTTGTTTCGGGTCAATCCGGTATCGTAGAACCCGCTGCCGTGGGATTGGATGATTTTAGTAACATTATTCACCGCAATTGTTCCAAATTTGGTATTTGAAGTTCGTAATGGATACTACAGCCTATGACAGAAAATTGTCTGTGCAGGTCCAGGTTTTCGTATAGCCCCCATATATCGGCCCCTATATTCGGTATTTTGGCGATTTTAGGTACAATACTCAACGAAATTGTTTGAGATGTCGTATTTGAAGTTCGTAATGGATTCTACAGCCTATGACAGGAGATTATCTGTGCATGTCCACGTCTTCGTATAGGCCCCATATAATGGTACCTCCCTGTATACGGTATTTCGATGATTTTAGCGACATTATTCACCGGAATTGTTCCAAACTTGGTATTTCAAGTTCGTAATGGATACTACAGCCTACGACAGAAAATTTTCTGTGCAGATCCACGTCTTCGTATAGCTCCGATATAACGGTATCTCCCTATATACGGTATTTCGATGATTTTAGCTACATTATTCACCGTTTATTTCAAATTTCGAATTTGAATATGATAATGGCTTATGACAAACAAAGCCTATGTAGGTTCACGTCGTATAGACCCCAATATAGTGGTCATTTTCGGTATTTTAACAGAATTTTTAACGGATTTTTTTTTTTTTTTGAAAATTTTCAAATACATTTAAAATGGTGGAGGGTATTTAAAGTTCAGCCCGTCCGAACTTGTTAGTATGCTTTTTAACTTGTTAGTATTCTGCACAATGAACGTATAAAACCTGTTTGTTTTGCAGTCTGGAGGGCGAGAAAATGTTCTTCTGACTCATAAAGTTTACGATTTCATTGATGTTACCACGGACATCATCACAGTTGAATTGGAGAAACGATGCATTGTCCGGAACTCGAACAGCAATGCGTGGCGTCAACTGCTATACGTCTTGCTGTTGTGAAGATTGCGGGGGAGTCTCATACTCCGACGACGAAGACTCACTGGGGTCTACATT